GGCTCCGGCTGGCCGAAAGACATGAGACGGGTTGCGGAAGGCCGGACCCAGGCCACCATCGCCAGCTGTTGGAAGGCAACGTCCGTGGTGACCTCGTAGCGGAACTGCCTGGCACCAGGACAAAACTCAGAGGGCTGGAGTCAAGACACTTCGCAGACTCACAGCATAAACAGTAAACAGGCCCAGCTGCCATGGGACGTAGGTCAGAGAGTGCATAGAGCTGACGAGGCTGAGGTCGGCGAGTTCTCCCGTGGAACAGGCATAGCGAGTCATGTGCGTTGCCGACAAGCACCAGGACAAAGCTAGTAAGGCGACGAAGCATGGCAAGATGAGGAAGCCGGCGTAGGAGCCCGTCAGCAATCGGACCACGGCCCCTTGCCGGGCCAGGCCGAATCCCAGGCTAAACCGGGCTGGGGGCTCTCGAGAGGAAAGTGGAGGACCGGAGCTCGAGCTGAAGAGCTCCTGGAGGTCCTGCAGTCTCATGGCAAAGCATTCGCTGCATTCGCTAGTCCGCACCAGTAGGGCTTAGGGCCTTTGGGGTTTAGGGTGTAGGAACGGGGTCCTCCAGCTTGCCAGCGTGAGCCTCTCGTAGTGCGGCCCAGGTAACCGCGGCCATCTTGGGCTTCTCAGATGTCTCGGCGAGGTGATCGCAACTGACCTCCACGAACTTGAGGCCTTTCTCTGTGTCGCGCGCCGAGCTCACGGCCTTCAAGACAGTCCACGTCGAGCCGCTAAGCGCCGTCAGCACCACCAGCAGCGTAGTGATATCGATGCTCGCCGTGCAGACGATGAGGAGGAAGTAGGCTAACAAGGCGGCAACGAGGAAGAAGTCGCTGGCGTCCTGCGGCTGGTCCACCACCACGAAGCCCAAACCTAAGCTCGCGTGGCACAGCTGCTTCTTGGCCAGGAGTTGCATGAGCCGCACTGTGGCCGCCAGCGCGAGGGCAGTAGGGGAGGCCGCCACGAGCCACACAACTGCCTCACAGGGAGATTGGGTCTAGGGTTTCGGGTTCAAGCGTTTCGGGTTGCGAAATCGAGGCGATGCCGGGTGACCTCTTCACTGCTATCCTCCCGGACTGTCTGTGCCTCGTAGTCACAGGACTTCTGGACCACTGAAAGCGCCCCTGTCTGCATGGCCGCCAGGGAGAGCATGAAGCCCGCGGCCCACGAGAGGCCGCTCAGGAAATTCTGCATCGGCGTCTTCAGTTCCATGAAGCCCTGGCAGTGCTTAAAGGTTCATGGGACTTAGTAGCTAGGGTTAAAATAAGGTTACTATGCTTATAACCCCGATTAAGCTACTTATAACTGTACTTATTAGTCCCATGAGCCTCGGAGTGAGCCTTCGGTGTCAGGGGCTTCAGCCGGGAGCTGGCCCAAGCCACGCGCAGCATCCAGATCGCAACCCCAAGGACCAACAAGCAGCTCACCAGCAGGGTTCCTCGGAGCAGTGTCTCTTGCAGCCCTGCCAGGTTTGCGTCAACCCTAAACACTAAAACCCTAAACTCGAAACCCCAAACCCGAAACCCTAAACCCCAAAACCGCAAACCCCCCCCCCCACCCTCTCCCTGCTCTCCCAGGCACCGGCCAAGAGATCCGGCACACCTTCCGGGCAGCTCTCCATGGCCATCCTGCAAGGTGATCCCGGCAGGGACCGGGTTTGCACAGAAGGATTTAGGGTTCACAGTAGGTGGTTTAGGCCTAATAACCCTGAACACTAAACTTTAGGGTTTACAGTAGGTGGTTTGGGCCTAATAACCCTGAACGCTAAACCCTAGGTTTTGCGTCCGAGCTGCTGCAAAGCCTGCACCTTGCTGGAGTGCGGGAGCAGGGCTGCTGCACGCTCCAGCACCTGGGCGACCATGAGCATGGCTGGCTCTGGAGGGAGCTTCTGACGCATGCCCGACAATGAGTGCCGAAGCTTCTGACCGCTATCATCTTGCTACATACTCACCGCGGCCGAGAGACACCCAGGGGACTCTCGCCAACTAGCTTGCAAATGCACGTGGGATTTCCATTCCTTGCTTGACTCTTCTGAAGTTGCCATGCATGCAACTAGAGCCCCAGGCGGGAACACCCTTCCTGCAAGCTTCAAAAGGAAGACGACAC